AGAGATGCAAAGTATCGACATGATAAACAACAGACAAATTTGTGACAACATTAAGACCAATACTATACATACATTCACTACACCTTGAAATGCATTCAATGTAATTGTAGTACTGAGATTAATAAAGCAACAAGCGGCACAATTAATGTAATTGGGAGAAAACCAATTATCATCAACCTCGTATCTGTCTGCAAGCGAATCAGTTTAATGCGAACTCCGCTCGCTTGAACCCCAAGCAAAGTTCTCAAGTACCACCGACACTGCTCGCCAAAATCTGCAGGCATGTTTGTAGCACGGCTCATTACAAAGCTCAAGTCCTCTCAAAGCAGCAATTATCTGCTCTAATTATCAACATATTACCAATGTATTAGCTTATGTGGAAGGAACTGAAACTAACTGGTATAAAATAAATTGCAAATACAAACATTCTGTTCACTTTTACGTGTTCACGCACAGAAGATAATTACTTTAGACGTCTGTGTTACTGTTTGTTGTGTCATTCGACAACTCTTTGTCAACTGTATAAAGTATAGTGGTAACTTAGGGTACCATATATTTTAACGTTCAATAACTCTGCGTTTCGCTCACACAATTTATCTACGGATTTCATATGATTGTCAGATTAAACAGTGATTATCTTTGAAACAGCATTAACTAATCGATTATAGCCATAGTATTGTAAATAGGTCGACGAATAATGTGGCTTGAAATAATTTTCCTTTCCAGTTCTGTCACTTGACTCTGATAATATACGTCTCGTGTTTAGTAAGAGATTGCAAGCCATATTTAAACAGAATCAGCATCCATTTAAACGCATCTCTTATGTAAATGTTTCCACATCATTTGCGGTCCTTAACACACAGCTCTACGAAGACAATTGAGATGTCAAAATAACGTCTATAATTGAACGCAAACACATACTAGGATACATCCTGTGCCACTATTATCTGTGTGTTAGGGTACAGACAGAAATTTGAATGTAAATATACTTATCTTTCGCATATAATGTAGGTTACTTATCAGTTCATTATGGGAGTCCCCACACTTTGAGAGTATTTTAATTTCCCCAGCGATAAACTGATCCAAGTACGAGCCAGTTTGATACCGTAGCACATCGATGTAAGTATAGCATAAATTTTAGTAATTTATTGTGCCCTATTTCTTTATAGAACACAAAATGATTGCGCATATATGATGTGCCCATCCTTCTTTTGGTTCAAATATCGAAGGGACTTGGTTTAAATTTGTTATTGTGCGTCCACAATATCACCTGTTGGCTAAACTTAATTTTTGGTTCGTGCAGGTCCAGTGTAACTAATCTACGTAAATTTCAAATGAAACTGCTAAAAATAGTTGTGTCATGAGTAAAATGTGTATTTTATTAAGCTAGGAAACTTTCGTTATGGTGAATTTTTAATGAAATGCATTGTGTCTGCAGCACGATTAGCTTTACAATAGATTTTTATCTGCAGCAAATGAACATCAAGACCAAGAAGGATTGTGAAGGAGGTTTCCAGTTTCACTTTATTCCAATGTAAATATTTTTATATGACTGCATCAAGGGTTAAATCTTAGCGAAAGTTCCAAATTTGGAAAACTGTATTCATTGCTCGGAAATACACTAGTAATGTTTCATAATCAGTGGATTACAAAACAAGATTAGCATCGTAATTTTAATTTTTCTTAGCAGAATAGAAGGAAAACTTAAGCAACTTCATAGCCTTTAATTTTTATTTAATGATGGGAAAACATTTAAATTCTTAATCTGTCTGTATGTCAACGATGACATTAAAAATGTAACCCTCCACATACACAAAACTTGTTTGATTTTCCCCTAAGTCTTGTGTCTGTAGCCGAGTAGCTCGATGACATGTAGAAGAAGGGTAACATAATGCGAAGAGACGGCTGCTATCGGAAACAGGAAGAAAGACTTTCAACCCTCCCCGAACATCCTCCTATTCATGTGCACTTATGAAGGGGAGGATACAACATCTGGAAGGAAAGAAAACCAGCCAACCCTCGACATACCAGCAAAACGGCTCTCGTCCCTTGAAAACTCACCCTTCTTAAGACCAAGTTAAAAAAAAAACATAACCTCGGCAGCTAAAGATCCCTTCGTTTTGTCATTTAGTTAGCAACTTCGTCGCAGTACGTACTTTCACCCACATCAGTCTTTTAGTATTAGCAATATGAAGTAGATTAAAAGTCCCGTTTACCCCCCTCTGCACTCGCAAGGGGTTGGAGAATGCCGACGTAACGTACTTTTAACATCTGGGACCATGCAAGCAACGAGCGCGGTTTGATTATGAATGTTTTACTTAATGAAAGAATGAATGAATGACAGCTCTTAATGAGCAGAACGTCTTTTATCTATTGCGAAATTGTCTTAAAATAGTCACCGTAGAAGCTTAAGATTGAGGGTCTATTTATATAGGAACGTAAAGATAACGACACGAGCCCTTGCCGATTTTTCAGAAAATATTATTCAACACTCACCCCTATCTAGTGCCGAGGTCAAGGAAGAGAGGAGCTATACCTCCTCTCACCCCAAACGCCTACATGGCGTATAGTGGGACAAACTTTACTTTACTTTTACTGTTTATATTGACTCCGAGCTCGTCCGTTCCACGAACGAGTCTCGCCCAACTTACGTATCCAACGATATTTTTCCTAAACAGTTCCATTGAAAAACGTTGAAAAATATTTTCTGAAAAATCGGCAAGGGCTCGTGTCGTTATCTTTACGTTCTAATATAAATAGACGCTAATTCGTACAGATGAATAGATTCTGATATCAGGGGGCTCTTATTTCGGAGGAAACTTGGAATTATACGTGTGGTTATATGTGATGAAACTCTATTTGAAACGTGATTGTCTGCATGTCAGTTCACACGATAAGTTATTGAGTCATCGTGGTACAAGTTGTAAGGCGCATAGTATTTCATATGGTAATCATGGTGGAACTTTGTGCATGTTATTGATAACGGTAATTCTGCCTATAATGACAAATATCTGTACATATGAGTTTAT